TATAGTAATATCACTTCCCTTCAATTTGCTGATATCGCGTTCAGTGTCTAGCGTTGAATGTTTATCAACAATTCAATGTTTATCGACGTATTCAATCAACAATTCAACGTTTTTGTTTTAAAACAACAATTTTAGCCAATTGTAAATAGTCTTCTAAATAGCGTGCGCTCTTGTGTGATCATATATACATATGTAATGGCTTCAGCATTTCACTTTTCTTCTTACATTTTCTTTTTCCTCCATAAAAATGTCATTTCTTTTGTTTGAATCGGACTTTACTATGGATTTTTTTCATTCATTGCTTCTTCCCTCATCGAATTGTGTATATCGCTCCGTCATCGCCAATTCAAGAACAACTCGTTCGTTGTAAACACAAAGAATAATCCGTCAGCCAGAAATAATTGCTCGATGTCGTCGTTCAGTTGCGATATGCCTCCTACTTTGATGAATTTGTGCACTTTCACTCGAATGAATTTCTTCTTTTTTTTTCGAGTGTTCGCATGCTCTCTCATTCATTGCTCTTCTGCGATTTCAAGTAAGCAGTGCGTGTAGTTCGTGCAGAATATGAAAACTTTTGATGATGAAATGTCGAATGCTGAGCAAAAGATGTTATCGTACAGTGATTAGTCTCTTTAATTGATGATTTTCTGATAATCGGCAATCGTTTCGCATCGTTCACCGTTCCATTATTCATTCATTTGTTTTGCACATGCCAGCTATTTTTATGAACACAAAAATGATCACTTTTTCAAATGAATTAGTCTTTGGGCCCTTTTCAGAGTCATTTATCAGAATGCATCATTTTGACTCATCATTAAAGTTTTGAACAGAAATTGAACCTTTGCTTTGAAATTGAATCTATTCCATCGTTCTCGTAATTAGCAAAAATTCTAGTGCAGCTGAGATTATTGCGATTCATTTCGGTCGTATTGTATTGTTGCTTTATCTCTTTAGGTCTATCCTAAATGTTTTTATTTTTTACTTCATTCAATTTGAACAGATTCTGTTTCAGTATCTCTGTCTATTTGTCCAATGTTGTTCTACTTCAACTAAAAACGCATTTCGTTTTGCCCATTCAGTTTTTTCTTTTCTTTTGAACTTTCTTCGCCGATAAATATTAAATTGTTTTTGTTTTATATGGTATGCGGTGGAACCGCAGTTTACATACACTCAGAATATTGCACAATTCCGACTAGAACACCAATTTTGGGTTGTCATCTAATTGTATTCAAGCGAATTGTATTCGTGGACTAAAGTTCCATTGTATTTTTTTAATTTAATAGTTTTGCATCTGATCAAATCAGCGTAGTACGTCTGTTATAATAATAATAATGATGGTAATATATAAAGTTATCGCTTNGCTTTACCCTCGACCAATATTATTTCATCAGTGACATTGATACAATTCGATTTCGAGCGAAACTCCTACATGCAAGTAGCACTTGAAGACATGAGTTAATATTCGAATTTCTTCAAGTGGAGAAGAAAGGTTTGCTCGAAATCGAATGGTCGCCAGTCATGTCATTGATTTTATCGAGCGTGAGCCAGTTGCCTAAGATCTGAATGATATCCTATTGATTCCTATCTTTTGTTTGCCCATATCTTTGCCCTGAATGCAGTTCACTATTCATTTCTGCCCAATTTGTTCTAAAAATATTCATATCGTATTGCACTTATTTTTCGTTTCAGTCAACTTGTCATTCTGTTCTTCGAAAAAAATCATTTTCTTCCAAAATTGAATCGACCAATTTCACAGTTCAAGGAAAGATGTGTTCTGTTTCTTTGTTAAAACTTCAACCAATATTCCGTGTTATCTGTCTGCATTTATATTTATTTATAAGTAAAGAATTCATCTCGTGAATGCTTTCATTGATTCGCTACGAACCAACAAATAATGAAGAACTAAATTTATTGGCATTCTCGAATAAACGAATAATATCAAATACTGATAGTGTTTATTATAATAAT